CCACTGAGCTAAATCCCCAGCCCCATTTTTTTTTTTTTTTTTTTGTTTTTGGGAGTCTGTATTTCTAATGCATCCACTGATTAGGCCGGTTGGGGGAAACCAGGTATTAATGTTATCAAATTTGGCAGAGCAGTTAATATCAGCTGAAGCCTTCAGTTACCATCTCATTGTTATTTCACATTTTGATTGATTTGCTGTTACGGATTTGGTGCTGATGAAGACAGGTTCCCCCAGGTTGGGCATGTTTGTGATAAAATAAAAAGAATCTTAATAGGAAGTTTACTTATATGTATGTACTCACTATTATATAATAACATGCAGCCCAGTATAATTCCTCTTTATTCAGTGTGACCCAGCCAGACAGGGGATGTCCAGCCTACAGGCTCCGGCTGGACACACCTGTGAGTCCAGTGGACACTAGAGATGTACAGACACACAGGAGTGCTACCTTGTTAACAGCCTCCAGAGTTTCTAGTACTCTGTGTTCTAACCAATTTGCAGTGGCCTTAAACCCTGTTGCCTGTGGTCGCAGGACAGATGCACCTTGTTATATTACAGCTAAAGCCTGGAGCCCAGTAGGAATGAAACGCAGAGCAAAATGAAAGCTCATGAGATTATATTCATTTGTACTTTTTATGAACAATGAAGCTTTGTCTTGTCTTTTATTTGTTTTCTTTCGTTTTTGTGAGACTATGACATACTATTATCTAGTTCTATTTTATTAGCAGCTTTTCCTGAATCTCTGCTTTCATTATTTCATTTTATTTTCTCTCTTATTTTTTCATTTCTTTGTATAATATAACTGGTCATTTGAGTACTGAATTATGGTGTGGTTCTGCAGCCTAATAAAAATAACTATGAGATTGGGGCCATGGGAGATAAGTGTACTGATTATATTTTACGATTAATTACATGGTGATACAATCCAGGTATCATCATTTGGGTTAACGATGAAATATAATTAGTAGCATAGCCAAGGTAACTTACTGCTGCCTAATGCCATCATTTTGAAGTATCATTTTAACTTGGTGATTACTCCAATCTCATTTTAAACTTTTTCTCCCTTAATTTGCTGATAAATTATTCTCAGTTCTTTCTGTAGAGAAACTGATTTGGGAACATCAATTACTTAGGTGAGAAACAAGATACCCCTCAGTAGTCTTTGAAGATAAGATGACAAGCACAGCAGAACATAATTGATAAGGAGGTCATTATTATTTACTATCATCATATAAAATCACTCATAATTTTCCTACTGCTTAATGAGGCCTGATAATTTACAGGTAGTCTAATTATGAAATGTTTTACTTACTTTTTACTTTGAGCATGTTAAAAGGTGGAAGAACTGTTAAGTTTTTTAGAATTTATTTCTCTCTGTAATAACTAATGTGTAGTCTACTTTCATTCTGAAAAAAGATGAAAGCAAACTATAAAAATACAGTATATGGAAAATCAAATATTTAATGTCATCTTTTATAAATAATGAACTAGGGATATGAGATGCATTTATCATTAGTGGGTTACAATGGATTATAAAATAAGATCGGTAAGAAACTGCTCGTATATATAACATTTTTGATTTCTGGATTTATTAGCAGACTTTGATGATAGGAAACATGTTAGTCTGAGTCTTGTGTGTAGTAATGCCCATTATTGTCCAGCCATTATCCTTGGAAAACTACATTTGACTTTATGATTGATCCTTAGGTAAGTTATGGTACACTAAACTCATTTTTACTATCTGGAGCAAATGCGCAGGTTTTAGCACGAATACTAAGCCTGTGCAACTTTTATCTTTGCTGTGTTACAGAAACCCTTGAAACTCTCATCAGACAAGCAGAAAACTATACCAGCATACTTTTCTGCAACACCTACAGGAACATGGCCTTAGAAGCTGCTACTTCTGTTCAAGAGTTCTTCACGGATGTGGGACTCTACTTATTTGGGGCAGATGTCAATCCTGAAGAATTTGTGAACAGATTTTTTGACAGTCTTTTCCCTCTGGTCTACAACCATCTCATTAATCCTGGTGTGACTGACAATTCCCTGGAATATGCAGAGTGCATCCGCGTGGCTCGGCAGGATGTTAGTCCCTTTGGCAATATTCCCAAAAGAGTGATGGGGCAGATGGGGAGGTCGCTGCTGCCCAGCCGCACGTTTCTGCAGGCACTCAATCTGGCCATTGAAGTCATTAACACCACAGACCATCTCCAGTTCTCCAAAGAGTGCAGCAGAGCCCTCTTGAAGATGCAGTACTGCCCGCACTGCCAGGGCCTGACTCTCAGTAAGCCGTGTATGGGGTACTGCCTTAATGTGGCCAGGGGCTGCCTGGCCCACATGGCCGAGCTTAATCCACACTGGCATACATACATCCGGGCCTTGGAAGAGCTGTCAAATGCGATGCACGGCACTTACGACGTAGAACATGTGCTCCTGAACTTCCACTTGCTGGTTAATGACGCCATGTTGCAGGCTCACGTCAATGGACACAAGTTATTGGAACAGGTAAGCAGCCAGCGCACGCTTCCTGTCTAATTTCTTAGAATCCAGCATTAGTCATGACCTGCATAAACCTAAGGAGTTAAACACATCATAAGGGACTCCTAAATTATGACTCCCAACAGGTTTGTACTTTAGGAAATAGTAAGAGAGTGCATGGGTTGCCAGATTTGATTCAAGATATTATATTTTACAAATGTCATATCAAAAGTTGGATCAGCTAAAATACCCGACTCCCCTAAGTAGAATTCTCAGAGCGTTCAGTGAGGTGGCAAAAGCTCCAGTTCAAATCTTAAGTGAAATAAATCAGGCATGCAAGTTTAAATATTGTGTGAGAAAGCCAAAGGATAAAGAGCCAAATAGAAGAAGATAAGTATTAGGAAATGGAAGAACTTCTTCAAATGGGAAGGGAAATAAGAGATGGGGGCGGGGGAGGCAAGAAAGGGAAAGGGATTTAAAGTAAACAATTGAAGGGAAAAATGGAAATAGAGCTTTTGCAAATGGGGAGGGAAGAAAGGTTGGAGAAAGGGGAGAGGAAGGGTACCAGAAGCAAGACTTGGGGCTGGGGATATAGCTCAGCAGCACAGTGCCTGCCTGGAAAGTGCAAGGTCCTGAGTTCAATTCCCAGTACCAAAAAAAAAAAAAAAAAAAAGAATTAAGATATGTTATATACATGTACAAGTCCCCCATGATGAATGTGATCATTAGGTACTGCAAACATGTAGTGATAAATGTAAATTTAAAAAAATCACTAGCATAGATTTGAATCTAAAATCAGTGATAGTTACATGAAAGTAGGCATATTGTTTAGTTTCTTTGTTCCTTGATCTCTTCATTGACAAAGGAAATGCTAACACACAACTTGTAAAGTATTTATTTTGGGGGGAAGTAAGTGTTATGTGTGCAGACTGTCTGGTATTATGCCTGTACTCAAAAAAGTGAGTGGCTATTAGAATTGCAAGGGCTGGGGTTATAGCTCAGTGGCATAAGCGCCTGCCTGGTAAGTGCAAGGTCCTGAGTTCGATTCCTGGTACCAAAAAAAATAATTTCAAAAGTATGCAGCTTTAAAATGGAAAATACTATTGTATCTTCATGAAGTTACTCTTTTTTTTTTTTGGTACTGTGTTGAACTCAGGACCTTGTGCTTGGGCATGCAGATGCTTGTGCCACTGAGCTATATCCCCAGCCTTTGTAGCTTCATGAAGTAAAGACATGATAAATTGATGTCAAGATACTTCTTTACAGTCTCCAAAATTTTTCCAAGCAATGGTGTGATGATTTTTAAAAATGTGACATAGACGTGATTATGCTGTTTTATTTCTAGTAGACTAAGTATTTTTTGAAACAGAATCATCAAGTCAAGGGATGTGAGGTTTTTCTTTTAATCCCACTTTCTGTGAGCCATTTTAAAAACATTCACAGGGCCCCTTAGTATGATTCTCATGTCCCATGCAGTGAAGTAGGACATGCTGCTGGTAGTTCTCCTGAAATAAAATTATATTCCCCGGTACCAACTAAATGCATCTCCCTACCCTGGCACTGATTTACTGAATTAATACATTTTCTCATCATGAGCGCTATATGTCGGATCTTTTCATTTCTGATAGAAATTGGAACTGAAAAGCTTTGCGTTTAACTGCCTTCTTTCCTTTAGGTCTTTTCAGATCCTTTCTGATTCCTTTATGCAAGTTAGAAATTGCCCCTCTGGGTGGACTCAATTCTGGGATATCAGAGTGTGAGCTGGATTTCAATACTTATTTTCAGCCCCATTCAGCTGGGTCGCTACCCAATGGGAAGCTTCCTACCTTAATGCGGGAGTCCTGGGTTTCCCTGTCTTCTGTCATCCCTTTATGAAAATCAGACATGAGCCAGAAGGGACATAATAAACCAACTCGGCATGGAGGTATGAAATATTACTGAGGTTCCAAGTGCTTCAGAGGTGTGAGGAATAAGCATTTAGATCCAGGAAATAACATATCCATGTTATTACATCACATACCTCCAAAAAGGAAAATAGACCAAGAAATCTGAGGGCCAGTAGAGATTTGATCATTATTTTCATACATGCCGTGTAAAATCTTGAGCTGGAGCTTTCTAATGTATGTAAGTAAATAGATTTTCAAGATCATTTTTATTATATTAGTTTGGAGGCCTGGAGAGCGATTTTATGTCCTTAAAATCTGTTCACACAGACAATTACCTGTTTTTTTTGTATTTCAAACACTAAAACAATGTGACTATAGGAGACAGGTGTGTATTCAAATCCCAAATATTTTTTAACTTCTTAGTGTCTTTGGCAAGCTACTCAGTGTTTGAGCCTGTTCTGTCTTGTCTGAAAAAAAAAAAAAAAAAAAATGGAGTAATGGTTTCAGTGGGGGAAACATGGTCAGTCTGTGACCTTATCGGGCACTGGGTACCTGATGACTTTCTTGTTTTCTTCCCTGTGCCAAGGTCTGAGCAGACTTTCTACTTTGATACCTCCAAGAGTTAAAATTTAGTAGGCATTTCCTTAATAAGTTTTACTTAATCTTGTATCATATGCAACTCTTTAGATAATTATCAAACAATACTGTTTTTTAAGCCAATGGTTTGATTTCATATAATAAATAGTCCATGACTATCTTGAGAAACATCAGTTATTGCTAATCAATTGTAGATTCTTTTCTAAATAAAACAACTGAGATCCTCATTTTTACTTACGGGGAAATAAAGGTAAAAATCTGACTTTAAATTCCTTCAAAATTGACTCATTAATATTTATTGCTGCCAACTGCAAAGTGATTCATAAGCTGTTTGTTAAGCTTTGATAACCAGCTTACACATGATAAATATAACAAATTCAAACTAAATTACTGGTTAGCCAGCAAAGAATGACTTTCTCACGTTTCCAAAGCAATCTGTGAAATCAAGTACTTCCACGCCTGATTCTAAATACATATTTCCACTTTAAGAAATCCATAGAGATTCATAATAGTTCTGTTGGATGAATTTCAACTGGAAAAAAATATTCTTCGTTTCTTGAGAAAATCACGAAAGAAATGTTCTTCGTTTCTTGGGAAAAACCTTTAAAGAAACAAAAGCTAATGTATAAGAAACTGTTTCTTTAAAATTTGGCCGTTGTTGTGTTGGTTAAGAAAAACCTTAGTTCAGTAGAAACAGAGCTAGAAGAGAGTTGAGACTAATAGCAGAGTGTAGTCTGTGTCTGCAGTCTGGCTTCAGTCTGTGTTTGTATCACTGATCAGCTGAGTTTGGACTTCTCATTGTTGAATCTCTTTACTTCTGTTTCCTCTTTGCTTAAATGTGCCAATAGCAGTACCTTTGTGGTAGCCTTTGAGAGGGTAAAATAAGTTTTCATGCTTGGATTAGTATCTCATACCTGGTGAGTCTTCAGACACTGCTCCTTATTAGCATGTTATATTATATAGAGTTCATTCAATTCTTTGGTGTCTTAAATGCTGTCAGAGTGAACATGTCATTAGAGTGCAGAGTTTAAGGAAAGCATTGATGGTATAGAGCTCAAAAGTATTTTATTTGTTTGTTTGTTTGTTTTGGTTTTTCTCTGGTTCCGGGAACCGAACTCACGACCTTGCACTTGCCAGGCAGGCGCTTTGCCGCTGAGCTAAATCCCCAGCCCCGCTCAAAAGTATTTTAAATAATGATTTATTATAAGCATATGATTGCAAAGATTTTCCTTAGAGAAAATGGGGTTTGCACAAAATAAGTTTTTAAGGTGTTTAATATTGTTGGATATGTATAAATATGTGCGTATGTATGATTGGATATACACATTTATAAAGAAGTATTTCTCCTGTTAATAAATTATTCATTTTTTGAATAAAATTATATACAATTTTGAAATTAAATTTGATGTTAATTGTATTTAACATATCATTTGTTGTTGTTGCAGTTTATCAATTTAATTTATCAAGGACACAACAATGCAGAGCTTATGTTAATTTCAGCGTTTCAACATGTTATAATTGAAACAGCTCTTGTAAGGAAACTCAGCGGAACATTGATTCTATATAATTTTAGAAAAAAAGATTTTGTAAAGTCTGTAAAATCAGGAACACAATTTCCCAAAGTAAATATCCAGCTCAATATTTTCTTATAGATAATCTTTGTTTCACCTCTTTTACAGTATGAATAAATATTCAGCTTGTATCCAAGTTACTTTAGAATCAGTATATAATACACTTTAAAATGCTAGATCCTGTCAAATTTGAGTTTAAGTGAATTGGACACAAAAATGTGCTTTAAAATGAATATCTTATCACTTCTATATACACCAACATTGTTCTAAATATGTAAAGAATAAGCACAGGAATTTTTTTTTTTCTGGTACCGGGAATTGAACTCACTACCTTGCGTTTGCTGGGCAGGCGCTGTGCTGCTGAGCTAAATCCCCAGCCCCTCACAGGAAATTTTTCATGTGTTATAGGTATTTCAACTATATTTTGTATAAAAGTTGAAAGGAAAAATGAAATGGTAGGCTAGATTAATTAGATATTGGCAAAATTTTTGTTGTATTTCTTTTACAATGTGGTATATGCTTTCCTGAGATATTATTATGCATGAAATTTTTCATAAATCCAGACAAGGGAGCAAATAAATTTTGGGCAAATTACAAGCGCAGTAGCTAAAGTAACCCTATTAAAATATAATGTCATTCCAATTTGAGATAGTTTAAGTGAGTTACCCAAAATGTAATCATCTTAGTTATTTTTCTGTCCTTGCTGAGACAAAATACCCAACACCCAAAATTAAGGAAGGGAAGGTTTATTTAGTTCACAGTTTGTGGAGGTTTCAATCCGTACTTGGCTGGCTCCGAGGCAGAGCAGCACATGGCAGAGGGCAACAGTTCATGGCAATGGAAAACAGCAAAGCAACAAGAACAAAAGGGAGGAGTGGCAGAGAAGAGCAAGCCGCCTTCCCTCCCTTGTATTGTAAGCAGGCTGCCCCCACCCAGGGGGCGTGTAGCATTCACCTACTCTCCATGCCCTCCT